AGAAGCCAGCGACTGATCTGCCTCCCCTGGGAAGAGCGCAATGATGGTGCCAACTTGGGCCAGTGAAGCAACGTCCTCCACAACTAGACTGAAGAACAAACCGACAGCAACTTGTCTGTTCCCCTTCCCCAATTCCCCAGCACTGTTCCCATCCCCCAGTTCCCCAATAAAAAATAAAATAAATAAAAAAAAGATGTGGTGTAATGCCAACTTTCTGAAAGCGGGACATACTGTTCACTATATGCCATTTCAGCACATGAAAGGTTTCATGAGAATGCTCTTTTAAGTGAGGAGGCTGTAATGTAAGCATGCTTGCTCACTGACTTTAGTCAAGTCATGTATAGAGAGAGCAGTTTAAAAGAGAACAATTTTCATCATAATTGATGAAAAAATACCCCAGAGGAAAAAGGAAAGGATACAATTATAACAGCTTAGGTGGAGGAATCAGCCCTATTTAAAGAAAACAAAACAATGACTACAAAAGGCCTACCTTACAAAGCTGAAACTCCTTAACCTGACATTTTGATTTTTTAAAAAATGTTTCCACCTTTTCTACTCCTGTACATGTATCTGCACTTACCATGCCTTTACATTTTTCCAAGCTATTCCTATTTTAACTGCTGTCCTCCCATTCCCACCCCCAATCTAGGTGAGGTTCAAGGTCCAATTCAAATACCACCTGTCCCATAAAGCTCTTTTTCATCTCATAAAAGCGCTTTGTCAATGGTTTAACTCTACATCTCATATAACCTCAATAGGCTATCACTTCGTGAGGTACATTCTTTTTGTCTTCGCGGGTGTTTTATCCACGTTTCTATTTCCCACTGTGCCTTAAACGCTGATTTGAAAGACCTATATACCAGTCTGGACCATAGATGTGGGTTCAAATTAGACTGGTCTGAAGATCTGCTCCTCTCTTGAGCTCAAGGAAACTTCCTTGCCTCGAGCAGATCCAGGCAGAACAGGACCGGCCTTGCAGAGAGCTCGGCTACTACTAGTCAGCAGCCTGCAGTGGCAGGCAGTACTGGTGAATACTGACCTGCACGCCTGCACATGAGCAACCCACACACTCTAATGGAAGCGCACGCCTTCAACTGTTCTCTCAGACGTCCCTCCCTTCCTGTCAGCTCACGTTAAATACAATAAGACGGCAGAAAGGAAGCAGAACTCCTTTCGAGTGACTGTCGCTAAAAGCCATTAGGCAAGCGGGACGCAATGAGAAAGAAGCAGCAACTAGGAGGTAAACACTGAGCGGGGAAAGATGGAACGACCTTAATCCTCAACGTTCCCCAGGTTCCTTTCTCCCGTCTCACGTTACGCACGTCAAGCACGTCACGTCGACGGCGCGACACACTGCCCGGCCCCGCCCCACCCTGGCCTACTGCCCGCCTGGCGGTGCTGGGGGGTTACGACAGAGTGAGGGCTGCTCTCACGCACTGGTGGAAAGAGTAGCCGCGCTTGCGGCTCTGCCTGGTGTCCCGGGTGCTGCAGCCCACTGCCGAGCAACTTCGTGTCATCTTCTTGCTACGTGGGGATCCACCTTCGGAGTTCCCGTGACAGCATGAATCACGACAAACTTAGCTCCGCCCGCGCGGCGTCTGCGACCTCTACTTGGCGGGCGGGTGGGCTCTTAAAGCGCAGGGCACCCACCCTTCCTTCCGTGCTTGTGCCCTGACCAGTCACAGGGCACGTCGTGTCGCAGCAGCCAATCGGACAAGCCAGGGACCTGAAGACGAGCACTTGATTGCACCTCCCTTTCTGTTCAAGGGTGGTTGGGGGATTTTGCTAGAGTGGTTTCGTTTTCCTATTTTCACCCGGTCTGGCTGAATCCGGTGCCATCGTCCCATTGTGAGGCCGAGACTGAAAACGCGAAGCGGAGAGGTAGAACTAAGGTTGAGACGAATCCAGGGGTGTGCCGATGGGTCATCGGGTGCGAGCTCTGAAAGGGAATGGCGGATATATTGGGAGGAAGGAATAGGAAGGAGAGGGCTAAACGCAAGGCCTTAGAAATATTGAACATACAGTTGGGCCAGAAGCACATTATTTATTGAGAAGCATGCCGTTTCCTTGCATTTTATTTGGTAGTTCCCTTATGTGGAGATAATGTAGGAGTTGCTGGTGTGGTTGGCGTTAGGTACGTTACCCAAGAGGAGCTTGAATGAGTGTAATGTGAGAATAACGTGGACTCTTAATTCAGCGAACCGTTTTCTGCAAGATCCTTTGCCACAATGCGGGGAATTAAGATGGAAATAAGGTAAGGACCTCGGGGCTCTTGGGGAAAGCTCACAGTCGAGTGGGGACTTGTCAACAGTATGGGAGGTGCAAGAGACAAGGGACGATAAGATGTTTTTGTTTAAGGTATGGGGCATTTTGGATAGCTTTCAGGACTGAGAAGATTTTAGAACAATGTCTTTATGTTTATGGTATGAGATTTCAGTTTTCGTAGAAAAAACAATGCAGTAAATAAACGTAGGGCATAGTTTCTATTTTGTCTTTGAAGAGATCCTTAACATTAAGTGGTTGGAGGCCCATTATAAAAAACAGAAATATTTGTAACTTTTTCACTTCCTTCTCTTGCAGGAATGATTACCTTTTTAAGCAAGATTGCTTCTTTTTTTCCATTTTGTTTACTTTGGCCAGATTCCAGCCAAGAATATTCAGCTCAAGGTATTACGTTTTCACTTCTACTTTCAGTTGTAATTGTTTACATCTTATTTGAATGAAATTAACAGAGCTTTTGTTTATGTAACTTGCTTAAAAGTCATATAGCCTAAGAATAGTCCATGAGGGGGAAATTGATCCATGGGGGATGTGCTTGCTAGGCAGTAAGATATGCAAAGGGTAGGACCTGGATTTAAATTACTTTCAGTTGACTATAAACTATTAGGGACTTTTCTAGTACTCAACCAATTAAGACCTATCTGAATGAGGTTAAATAGGAACAAATAACAGTTTTCAATTATCTTTAAGGAAAAAATTGGTTGCCTTATTTTGTTAACGGTTTTATGGAGATTTAATTCATATAATAAACAACCCATTTAAAGTAGTATACTTTTCAGTGGTTTTTAGTATATCCATAAATTGTGCAACCATCACCAGTCTCAGAACATTTTCATCATCCCTCCCCCCCAAAAAAAAAACCATTCTCCCTGACAGTCTCTCCTTATATCTTCCCTATCCCCAGCCCCTGTTACCCTCTAATCTTTTTATCTGTGTAGATTTGTTTATTCTGGACACTTCATATACTTGTAAATGGAATCAGAAACTAATATATGGTCTTTGTGACTGGCTTCTTTTGCTTAGAATGTTTTTAAGGTTCATTCATGTTGTAGCATGTATAGGTACTTCATTTTTTTTTAACTGCCAAAAGATATTCCGCTGTATGGATACGCCACATTTTATTTATCCATTCATCAGCTCATGGACATTTGGGTTGTTTCTGTTTTGGGGGGCTATTATGAATAATGCTGCTATGAACATTAGTTGTACAAGTTGTGTGTGGACCTGTTTTTCTTTTGAGTATATACCTAAGGTTGGAATTGCTGCGTCATATGCTAACTCTAAGGTTTAACCTCTTGAGGAAATGCCAGTCTGTTTTCCAAAGTGGCTGCACCATTTTACATTGTCGCTAGCAAAGGATGAAGGTTACAATTTCTCCACATACTTGTAGGTATGAAGTGGTATCTCGTAGTGGTGGTTGCGCTATTTTTAAGGACTCAAAGTTTGTAATTACCTGCTAGAAGATGCTCATTGAGTGCAGAGACAATGTCTAAGGTGAATTTGTCTTTTCCAGTCCCTGGCACACAAATAGGAATGTGTGTTTCTACTCTGATGTCATATGTGATCCTGGAAAACACCTACGTTCATCAAAATTGTGTTTGAAAGAACCAGGGCTCGTGGGGAAAATAGGGTTGCCTACTCAAAACCAGTGCAATTTGATAATCTTGAAAATAAGCAGCAATTTGTGGGGGGAAGTAAGTACTCTTATGCCCTGCCACCCCATTAAAGGTAACTTGAAATGGAGACTGCCATGGGATGTATTAAAGGAGCAAGCCTGGTGGGTGCTAGATTTTTACAGATGGAAATGGAGGTCTGGGCGAATGGACTGCGGTTGAAATGGGTTCAGAAGTAGTAGAAAACCTAGGGGGAGGTGAGTGGAGTAGGGGCCCCCACGTGCAGGCACTCATTTTTCATTTTCTTAAGGTAGAGTTGAAAGTACTCGTGCTGCCAATTCAGCATCAGTACAGAGAAAAAGAGTGCTTTTTTTTTTCTGCTTAATTGGATTCTAGATATTGTGGTTCTCCTAGGAAAGATGAAACATTGTGGCTCTCACATTCTGGCATATTCTAATTATTAATTACAAATGAGTTACTGACAACTGCTATGCTGCAGAACAGTTTTACTGAAATGTCGTAGACTACTTAAGTGAAAATAACCAGCTTACTTTAAGAAACCACAGGGGTCACTGCCCTAGGTATTAGTGTACTTTTGGATAGGAAAGTATGCACTCCCTTATAAATGGAATTATTTTCTTGAGGTTGTATTTATGTATGTATCTTTACCTTTGTTTATAACTTTTACATGCTTTTTTGTTGCTATTTTTTACTGTTTTTCTGGTGACATAGAGGTTCTTATTTTGATCATTTCATTATATCTTTGCTTCCTACAGTAACTTCATATCCAGTGATTAAACCTTTTCACTGCTGTTCACATAATGAACCATTGTGATTATTGATATGTTTATGAGGATATGTAAGCTGTATTGAAGATGTTATTTGCAAAAGGTGTTGGCTGTTGCACAAAGTCTTTTAAAAGGAAATATCTCTTTTCAGGAATTACATTCTTGGAGATGTTGGAAAAAGATTCCTGGGTCTTGGAAGATGACTCAAAATATGCAGGGAAGGGCCTCCCCAGGAAAAAAAAAAAAGAAAAAAGAAAAAAAATGTGCAGGGGAGGTAATATATCTTTCTGTTTTAAATGTATTGAGTATTCCTGGATCAATAGCAATGAGTTGGAAATGGAGAGTTGTCCAAGTAAAAAAAACGGATTCGTAAAGGCTTTGGTGAAATTGAATTGCCTGTTTTATGGTATAGAATCTCATTAATTGGTAACTTGGGGAAAATCAAACAGCTAATGCGTAGTGAATGGTTACATGCAAGGCATTGTGCTGAACATTTTATACACACACACACAGAGTTGGGTTTGTTTGTTTGATTTTTTTTTTTTTTTTCTGAGCCATCCTGTCACCTGTTGGCAGCTCATCGGCTGCTCAGCTCGGGCCGGGAATCGAACCGCTGTTGCTCAGAGCTCAAACTCTTGAGCGAGCTCTTAACCAACTGAGCCACTTGGCTGGCCCTTGTTTGTTTGTTTTTTAAACAATATTTATTTCTTACAACAACCCTATAAAAGCAAATAGACTTTTTGCTTTCTAGGACAGGTATCTTCCTTGTCAAACACCTACCTTTTTGTTAGATTCTTAGCTACTTCCACTAAAACCTTTATTTTGTTGTCCTGATATAATAAAATCTATATCTAGTACTTGTTTATATTCGCGCTGAATTTTTTATCTTTTTGGTTCCCTGGGGCTTTGTTTGTTTGATTGTTTGTGTTTGCTTCAGAAAGCCTTGGGGTTTTGAAACTCTTGGTGGCCAAATATAAAGACAATTCTGAATCTGATCCTTCCCCAAACATTTCAGACCTTTTCAACTAATTTACAAGTTGTATATTTTACTTTTTAGATATGGATTGTGATCCTCTGTGTTACTTGTTTAATGCTGTGTAACAAATTACCGGAAACGTAATAGTTTAAAACAACAAACACTTATAGTGGGAGGACAGGGGAAACATCAGCTTTCAAACTTTCTCAGTTGGCATCCCTCAGTTTTTTGATGGCTGTTAGCCATATAAAGCAAGGCATAGCCAGTTTTGGAATGTATTAAGGTATCGTTACCCTTTCCATATCTGGCCTGATGGTGAGAAGACACCTGCAAGTTAGCATAAAGTAATCTTTGTAAAGTAGATAAATGATATACTTGAAATTATCTTTTTTTCCAGTCTTAGTAAAATTGGAGATCTTATCTGTTTTGCATGATAGAATTGAAATGTATAGAAATGTGCATGTGTTGTGTTTTTTTTAAAGGACTGGGAATTTTTTAAAATGACTAGAGCATAAGTTGAAAATAAGAAGAAGATATAAATGTCCAATGATTAAACTTTTTCCACTGCTGTTCACATCATGATTTATTGTGATTAATGTATGTGGATGAGGACATAATGGAAAAAAATCGTGAGGCTTATGGATACTAGTTTTTGTACATTGATTTACATGGAAATGTTTTTCCTTTCAGGAATAAAATTGAAGGATATTTTTCTTAGAAAACATTTGTCTCATTTACCTGATCAAGAATTCAAAGATGTATATAATAAGGTAAGAGGTTTAATAATTTACTAGTTTTGACAAAACACAAAAACTATCTGAGCAAAAAATTCACATTTGAGGATAATTTGGATATTGTACTCAGTTAAATTTTTTTCCATATTCTTTCAGCTTTCAAAGATAAAATAAACATGATTTCAAAGGTAATATAATTTTCTGAATCAATAGATTAGATTAAGAATAGGTGATTGGTTGGGTGGGGGACAGGACCTTTAACTTGAATAGTTATCTTTTCTTAAAAATAATGATATAATCTTTTTTAGCACCTGAAATTCTTAGCTATCATATGTTCTGGGGTTTAAATTTGCTTAAGTATTGGCTATTCTATAAATACTCTTTGATATGCCATTGGGTGTCCATCCTATAACTTAAGCTTTGTTCAAGAACATTAGATAGGCAGGTGGTTGGAAG